CGCCCCACCCCACTCCCGCGCATGCGCAGTGCGGGACCTCCGGCTCTCCTCTGGAAGCCGGAAGGAAGGCGCATTTCTGGTTCGCGTGCAATAGGTAGGGCTTAGAGCCTAGGTATGCGCAGGTGCCGGGAGAAGGATCCCTGGTGTCAGTAGGACTCTTCTGTACTTGGGTCTGCTTTGATGTGGCGACTGGCAGGCCTGAGGTCAGCCAACGCTCTCTCGGAATGCTGGTTTCTAGGAGTTTGTCCTCGTGCTGCTCTATTCTCCATAGTCCCCATCATGGCATCGGGTGCTAACATGCATAACGATGGTAAGGGGGTTATCCGGCAGTATGAAGAGTCAGACCTGCTTGTGGATCTCCCGGTTCTCAAGTCAAGCCCTCTGTTTTCCTGGTTTCTAATGTAATCTCAACAAAGTTTGTGACAATGTAGAAAATCAACTCTCACCTCACAGGGGATAAGGGTTTATTCTGGAGCCAGATATGAGTGATCACAGCCTGGGAACACAGATTCAGATGACCCTAAATTCCACTTTCGAACAGGGTAACAATTTCACGAAGGTTTGTAGTAACAGAACAATGGTCCTAAATCAACACACTTTTCAAATACACTGGTGGAAGCACCAGGTAGGTTGGTTACAGCAACACAGGGAAACCTTTGTCAGAGATCTCCAGTGTTAGCTGACGACATTTCTTAGCTCTGGGGTTAGTGGAAGTTACTGACCTGCTAAGTTAATATATTCCAGAGGTTTCACCAGATAGACAAAAGGATGTTAGGTGTTAGAAATGCGTTAGGGGAAGGGAATTCTCAGGAAAATGACAACACCATCTAAGGTGTTTTGGCAAGATAAACCGTTTACTTCTGTAGAAGGGTATATAGCTGCCCTAAATCCAGCAAGTAAGCACATCCAGCAAGGGTCTGCTCAGGCTTTATAATCCTAACGCAAAGGGGTCCCGTGCCTCACTGGGGTCAGGGCTCTGGCTCACATTCTTGGATTTTTTGTTGTTTGTTTGTTTTAATAAGTCAGGGTCTCCCTGTAGCCCCAGCTGGCCTGGAACTCACCACTATGTAGACCAGTATGGCCTTGAACTCAGAGATCCTCCTGCCTCTGGCTGCCTCTGCTGGGATTAAAGGCATGTGCCACCACAGCTGGCCTGTCTCACATTCTTAAGCGTTTGAGAAACTCAAAGTAAGGCAGTTGATAAGCAGAATGCAATTTTTAGCACCAAGTGCAACCTTGAATATATATTTTGACTTCAAGAAATACTGGCCTTGGAGGAATTTGAATTTCTGTCAAGTGGTTCTTAGTAATTTTTTTTTTTTTACATGAAGTTTGTCTTGTATAACCCTTTGACAGAAATTACATTTCTTTTACATTTCCCTCATTAGGTCAGACCCAAGTGGACAGTGAATGGCTGTTAAGGGAGCTAAAGGTAACCCAAGATAAGCTGTCATGAAGGTCAGTTAGGGGTACAGGAAGTTACAAGCACAGAAGAGACGTGTGGGCTCAGAAACGTGTAGAAACAGCCAGTGAATTGCACACAGTGCCATTCTGCAGCAGGCAATGCCCAATGCCCAAGCAGGCGGGAGCTCTTGGGAGCACTGTGCAAGAACCTTCCGTCCCCAGGAGATCGAAGATTGCCTCGGGTGGTGCTGGCTTCCCGGTACGAACTGATTCAGGGCCTAGCCGTGCTGCCACGCGGGGCTGGGAGCCCGGGGAAATGCACCCAATAGTGCATGTCAGTGCCTGCAGGACAGCTGCTCTCTACAGTGCGGGCGCGGAGGAGGCGCCACGCAGCCGGGGGGCGCAGGAGCGCGCGAGCGCCGCCCTGGCGGCCGCCCATTGCCAACCCCAGGCCTGGCCCTCCAGCCTAGGAGTCTCCGAGGCCGGATGGGCATTCCAATGAGCATGCGCGCTGTCATTGGCTGCTGGCGAGGGGCGTATTGATGACGCAGGAAGAAAACAGGAAGTCAGCCGTACGGCAGCCGGCTTGGGCCAGAAACCCTGCGGTCTTCAGCAGTCTACCCGGCGGCGAATGAGTGGGTTCTGACCGAGCTCACGCTAGGCGGACGCGGGCTTGTGGCTGAGTGGGGAGGCCTGGCCGGCATGGAGGACGACGCGCCGGTCATCTACGGGCTGGAGTTCCAGGTGGGCACAGCGCAGGCCGCCGCGACCGCCAGGAGTGGTGGAGAACGCTGAGTCGTCGGTGCCGCCCGCCTGAGCCTGGGCGCGCGGACCTGGAGCCGGTTCTGAGGACCCTGGGCTCTGGGAGCAGGACGCGCGCGGGGTGGAGCGAGTGAGGCCCCGTGGGCACGCCAGACGGCGCCCTCCCACCCGCCGCACCTGCGACTGTGGTTCCCTCTGCGCCCGCCGCCCCGGCCTCTGATTCCGAGTCCCCAAGGCAGGAGTTGCATTCGAATATTTTATTTGCCTTTTTTTAAAAAAATTGAGACAGGGTCTCATGTAGCCCAACGTGGCCCTAAGCTCTAGTGGAGGCTGGTGTTGAATTTGGATCCTCTTACCGCCACCTCTCAATTACTGGGTTAGCACAGGAGTGCAGGAGTGCACCACCACGCCCCACTTGCATCCCGATTTTTTTTTTCTTTTAACTTTGAATACTAGGCGGGGCTAGTATTTAATCCTAGGGCTCCGGAGGCAAGAGCCAGGCTGAACTTTGAGATCCAGGCCTGCCTGGTCTACATAGCGTGTTCCAGGTCATCTGGGGCTACAGGGAAACACTGTCTCAAAAACAAAAAAAAAAACCCCGAAAGTTTGGAGTACTTAGAATACTTACAGAGGTACGTAGAAAGTTCTGGTCTCCCAGCTTTCCCTAATGTCAGTTAGCATTTCTTTCATAACTGTTATCAGAATTTTACATGGGCACGGGACTACGATTTAAGCCTTTAGCTTTACAGGGTTTCAGCCATTTTCCCATTGCTGATCTGTGTCCATCCTGGTGTCCCTAGTGCCTGCTCATCTTGGCTGGCGCGTAGGTGTTCCAGAAGATCCTCAAGGGAAAGAATTCGATTGCTGTGCCGTTGAGAAGCACAGTAAGAGGTTGATGTGGGGAGCCGGAGAGATGGCTCACAGTTAAGAGCTGTTCTTGTCAAAGACCCAGGTTTGAATCCCAGCATCTACGTAGTGACTAACAACCATCTATAGCTCCAGTTCCAGGGGATCTGATGCCCTCTTCTGAGAGGAGATGGGACTACTGTAGAGACCAGGTAGAGTCCTGTACTGGTTTTCATCCATTCAAGTACCTTTTAAGAACCTATATACTTAAGGTACTGACAAATCCAGAGGAATGAAAACAGATTGCCTTAGGAAGTACATGATGCATACTTGTGTGTGACAGTATACCTTAAAGATATTAATGATCTCCATTTCTTGATATTAATGATCAAGTAGCTTTCAGTTACAGAGGTAGTATTAATTGTTAAGAGTGTGGGTGCCATCTGGTTTTCTGAGATTATATCTCGGCTCCAGTACTTAGTGGTTACATGTCTTTGGACCTCAGTTTCCTTGCCAATACAGTGGGAAAAGCAGCACATTTTTGTGCTTTTTCTGTGGCTGTTGTGAACATTAGTTGTGTTGTTACGTTCAATGCAGGTACTTATAGCAGTGCCTGCCACATAGTAGCGCTCAATAAATGTTTATTTGAGTGAGATAAAATTTTTGGTTTTTGGAGACTAGGTCTCTGTAAATCACACTGGCCTCAAACTTGCTATGTAGACCAGATTGGCCCTGAATTCACAGGAATCCACTGCTTCTGCCTCCTGAGTGCTGGGATTAAGGGCATGTGCCACCACACACAGCCTATACACCCTGCCTTTGACTCCTTTGAAAAAAGATTCTGTTTTGATTTGTTTGTTTTTATTTTGTGTGAGTGCTTTGCCTGCATGCAAGTGTACCTGTGTGTGTAATGTCTGCCAAAGACCAGAGAGGGCTTGGGTCCCCTGGAACTAGAGTTAACGGTGGGTGTTAACCACTGTGTGGTTGCTAGGAACCAAACCTGGGTCCTCTGCAAGAGCAACCAGTGCTCTTAACCACTGATCCAGCTTCCTAGTCCTCCTGTCTTTGACCCGTATACTTGGGCCATTTTCTTTCTTTTTATTTTTTAAATTTTATTATATTTTATTTTTTGTGTATGAGTGTATTGCCTTACATGTGTGTAAGTGCACCCATGTTGCACAGTGCCTGTAGAGGTCAGCAGAAGGCATCGAGATCCTGGTACTGTGAGTTACAGATGGTTAATTGTCATGTGGGTGCTGGGAATTGAACCAGGGTCCTCTGCAGAGCAGTCAGTGCTCTTAACTGCTGAGCCATCTCTCCAGGCCCTACTTGGGTCATTTTCTTAGTAGTTGTTCTGGGAATTACATCTGGCATCTAGGTGGGATCAAATCCAGTTTAGCCTGGTTGGCTCACCACTTCTTTTGTTTTCTTACCATAAAAGCAAAATCCTGGGGCTGGAGAGATGGCTCAGTGGTTAAGGGCACTGGCTATTCTTGCATAAGACCTGGGTTTGATTTCTAGCATCCACATGGAAGCTAACAACCATCCGTTATTCCAGTTTTAGGGGATCTGACACCCTCTTCTGACCTCTGTGGACATTGCATGACACGGGTGTACTTACACACATGCAGGCATAACAGTCATACAAATAAAAATAAGTGAAAAAAAAACCAAACAACCAAACCTCCAAATCCTTGGACATTTTGTCCTTCAACACAGATTTATAATAATCACTTTGTGGGATTGCCTTTGAAATCTGATAGGAGAAAGCCAGCTTCGTGTGGGTGATTTATATACCCATTTTACAGATTAAAAAATAGCGATATAGAAACATGAATGATCACGTGATGGGGCTGAGGTCAGTTAATCAGCAGTGGAGCTAGGGTGCACCTAGATGCCTGAACTTAGCATATTGGGACCATTTAATTGGTCCAGAGTATCTGTGTCTTTCCTTACAAAATAAGAAGAAATATGAAATATATTCAGAGTTAGTTTTTAGTGTTTCTTTTGAGACTTAAGTGGAAGTTATGGGAGATAGACCAGTTCATCTCAAGGGAGGCTTTTCTAAGGCCTCTGAAGATTTATAAATGGAGTGCACAGTCCTAGCAATCTGGTATTAAGAGTGCCCAAGGTAAGCCTGACTTCACTGAGACAAGGCACACACTTATTTATTGAACTGTGTTCAGGTTTCTCTGTGTAGTTTTGACAGGCTCCAAGCCCAGGTATACTTGATGTGTTAGAGAAAGGAATGGCTCGAGAGGCTAGGAGGTTGACTTTTAAAATCTGTGCAGAGAAGTGGCACACATTAAATCAGTGACGTGAGGGAGCAGCAGTCTGGAGAGGGAGAAACTGAGTTCAAAAATTTATCAGTTGAGTTGGGTGTTCACTATATTTGTTTTCACTTTTCTCCTTTTTCTTTTTTCCCTCTTTCCCTCCCTCTGCTCTTCCCTTGCCTGCTCTCCATCTCTCTGACTGACTCCATCCTCCATCCACAGCGAGGACACTGTGTGTGCAGGGGCTGCTTACTGCAGGAGAAGCCCTTCCCCACTGCTTTCCTTTCTAGGCCAGCATTAAGCCTCAGGCCTGCCGTTCCTGAGTGTGGTTGACTGTGTGCTGTTTAGTTAACCATGTATTTCCTCACTTCAGTAAGCAGCCAAGTAGGATGCTGATTTCCTGAGGGAATGCTGTATATTCCTGCTGTTGACTTGCCTGCATTTCCATGGTGACTTCATGGTGACTGTAGACAGAGATACAATGGTTGAAAATATCTCATAGCCAGGGCTAGAGAGATGGCTCAGTGGTTAAGAGCACTGACTGCTCTTGAAGAGGACCTGGGTTCAATTCCCAGCACCCACATGGCGGCTATGAACTGTCCTTAACTCCAGTTCCAGGGGAATCTGAAGCCCTCTTCTGACCTCGCAGCATTGCACAACACGGGTGCACCCACATCCATATAGGCAATACACTCATACACATAATATAAAATAATAAATAAAATATTTTTAAAAATATGCCATAGCCTTTCTTTATGGGAATGGGGTCGGGGAATACATGGAATCATGATATGGTGACTGCTGTTCTAATTGCAGCCAAATATTACCTGCATTGCCAGTTACTTGCTTATCATAAGAGAAAGGCAGCTGGACCCAGTCTGGGTTGTTTTTCTTTCATAGCTTTGGAATGGAAGCTAAGTCACTTGAGTTTCAGTTTCTTTTTCTAAGTGGGACTAGCACCCATCATGTCTTCCCATCTCCGTCATAGAACTGGGAACATGAACCAAGGCAAAGCCTGTGGAAATGCTGGTCATCTGTTAGAAGAACTTGATCTTGGGCTTGGAGAGATGGCTCAGCAGTTAAGATTGCTTACTGCTCTTCCAGAGGATGGGAGTTTGGTTGCCAGCACCCATGTTGGGTGGTTCACAGCTACCTGTACCTTCAGGTCCAGAGGTCCAGACACCCTTTTCTGGCACCCATGGGTACCCCATACACACACACACACACACACACACACACACACACACACAGGAATAAAAAAATAAGGAACTTGATCTTAGTAGAATCAGTTCATTGGAACACCTATAAAACTATCTTTATGACCAGACTCAGGTCACTTTATCATGAATTTACTTGAAGAAGTACAATGATAGACAGAGACCTAAGACTAGAACTGTTAGAATTCAGTACTTTTTGTAATTTTGCCTGATGTTCTGGAGAGGTCTTAAATGACACTTCAATGAGTTTTTTTGTTTTTTTGTTACTTGTTTTTTTTTAAGAGACACACTTTAAATTTGTTTATGAGAATACTTTCCCTCATCCATTTTTCTGAAAAGATGTGTCCTGTCTGAGATTGAAAAAGTAACTGCTAGCCAGTAACACTCTTCTAAAACTCTGGCAGCTTTGCTTTCTGAACTTGAGGCCAAGTTTCCTTCTCCCCCTATGCAGTTACTCCTCCCCAGGGTGCCATAAATTGCCAGAAGGAAGCAGCATGGATGCCTGATTCTGGTCATCACTCACGAGCTTCTGCATTCTGGAATTGCCCTTCAGAGTGGCTACTAACACAGGTTACTTATTTTCCATTTCCTTCTTTCATAAAGTGGTGACATTTAATCCCATTTTCTGCCTGATATTCAGTTAGAGGCTGCATTTTAGTAAATGTTAACTTGTTATTGTGGACTGTGCCAGTGTCTTTGACACTTAATCCCTACACTAGTTTTTCTTTTCATCTCTTTTAAGTCTTCCCTCTCCTAATGAGTCTAGGCTTCACACTTCCTGGATACTTCCACAGTACCTCCAGAGGAGGACGTACCACACACTCTACAGACATCCCACCTTTTATCACCAACTTGAAGTATATAAAAGGCTTTTAATGTGCGATAATCATTCTTTCCCAGGTGGGCCCTCTCCATGGTCCTATTTTTGTGGACATTGGGCCTTGTGTCATCTGGGTGACCCTGTGTTGTTGTATCTGAAGGTCCTTAGGGCCTCATCTGGAGGTAGACACTCTCTCTTGCTTTCTTCTCACCAGTGTAGGGCTGGGTCCTAGCCATGGGCGGCTGCCCTCTCCCTCTCTCCAGTCTGTTTTCTAAGCCAGGTTGTTTAAATAGAGTTCAGATGTTCTGAGATGTTGCTGATATGCCCCCCACCCCTTTTTCTAGATCCACAAAGAAGTAACCAGTTTCACCAACAGGTTTAAGGCTCCCCAAACTGTTCATCTAAATCTGCAGTGGAGGATGCAGGGGTATGGCCATGGGTCCTTAAGTATGCTTTGCATGGTGGAATGGATGCCTTCTCCAGCTGGCACACAGTGTGCTGTTCTGGACCGTAGCTCCTTGTTTTGTTGGAGCACGCTTTATCATTGAGTGCCGTGCTGCTGTCTCTGGGGAAGGATGGGAATGTATAGGCAGTGTGCTTGTGTCTTCTAAAATCTAAAATTTGGAAACCAAATCTAATTGTAGAAACTTAAGTCAAAACAGGACAGACTGAATGATCAGGACAACTGTTAAGCTGTTTGTTTTACTGATTTTGAAAGAAATGAATCAAGAAATCTGAAAAATAATGTAAAATAGTGTAAAAATAGATCATAAACACACACAAGACTCAGCTATCAGGAAGCAGAACATCATGTGCATTTCTAGCTGCATGTGGACGGGGAGGGCACATCAAGGCAACTTCAGGAGGGAGAAGAGCGTCCTGTAACTGCCATGACAGATCACAGAGGGCCACAGGATTAAAGCAACACACTTCACAGTTCCAGGTCAGAAGCCCAGCATGGGCCTCACTGGGCTAGAATCAATTCACTGGGATATTGTTGGCACTTTGGGATGGCTCCAGGGTGTGTCTGCCTGCCTTTTCTGGCATCTCCAGCCATCCACATCCCTGGGCTTGTGGTTCCTTCCTCCATCTTTAGAACCAGCAGCAGCTCCCTGAGTTCTTGCAATTGCCTGTCTTTCTTAAGTAACTCTTTCTGAACCCAGATCTGGAAGCTTATCTTACAGAAAAAAAAATGTCACAGAGATGAGGGGCCGTTTGAAGCTGAAGAAAGTGAATATAAAAGAGGGAGCTTTGCTCAGAAATCAACTTCTTCCCTTCAGAGGGATCAAGGGTGGGAATAATGAGGGAGATAGGCTAATTAAAGAGAAGTATTCATGCCTTTTCTGGGACTAGAGGGAGATTTTCCAGAAACACTGGTGCCATCTTTCTTTCCTTTCCAGTCATGGTGACTGGTGTGTCTTAGGTGTCTTGATCCTTGAAGAGAGGAGAGAGGCTAGTCAATTCTAGGTTAGCTGAACCCTGTATTATAGTTCAGAACAAAACACTTACCAGTGATCACTGTTTCTTTGCTGAGCCTAAAGGTCAGGACCTCAATGGAGACCAACAGGATATAAAGACAGATGCCAAATGTCTTGCCCTGTTTCAGTCACCCATGGAATACTGCTGACTAAGTGAAGAGTAAATTTTCAGTAGAAGTGACCTTTTTAAGCAAGCCTGAAAAGTAACTTAGGAAATTGTTGTAACCCTACACAGCAGAGGTGCTGTCTACAGCTAGCATAATGGGAAACGAGTACTGTATTGCTTAGCTGTGTGGCCTCCAGATTGAGTAGGTTGCCTTCCTTCCTTCCTTCCTTCCTTCCTTCCTTCCTTCCTTCCTTCCTTCCTTCCTTCCCTCCCTCCCTCCCTCCCTCCCTCCCTCCCCATCCATCTTTCTTCTATTTGAGATAAAGTCTCCTTGCATAGCTCAGCCTAGCCTTGAACTCCTGCTCCTTTTGCTTGGCATTGTAGGCATGCAGCACCACATCCAACTAGGAGCAAGTAAAACTGTAGGTTAATTTGGTTTTCCCTCTAGCTGGCCGCCTCTGATTCCCTTTTCTATTTCCATGTATGTGCGACTTCAGCCATGAGAGGTCTTCTGGTTTCAGGGGCCCATGTGATTAAACAATCTTGGATACTCTCCCCTTCTCCAGGTCCTTAACTTAATTAAACCTGCACAATCTTCTCCATAGGTATAACATAGTCATAGATTCTGGGAATTAGGATGTCGACATTTTCAGTGGGTCATTGTTGTGCTTACCAAAGGCAGAAAAACATGTTACAGGGTCTTGACCTGAGTCCAGTTAATGATTGGACTTAAAGAGAACTGAATTTAAATTTTTAATTTTGAAATACTAGTCACAGCTCTAGTACCAGCTGTGTAATTTTTTTTCCTCAAAGTGTGGATTTCTTAATTTTGTCTTTTAATTATTGGATGCACTAAGCCTGGTTACTGTGGTTTGTGCTGTCTTATGTTTCCTAGAGTCCTTTCAGGGAACCCAGCAACTTCTGAGCTTGTTGGCAGCCGATAGCTTTTAGTTGGGTCTTGCTCCAGGAAGTGCCCTCGCCTGCAGAGTGCACGTTCATACCCTCCCCAGGGTGTGAGCACACAGCTGCTCAGCTGGGGTGCGAGGTGTGAAGGCTATGGCTGTCTAGCCCTGAGCTCCTCACTTGACAGGTTTCTGTTGTAGGTGTAATAAGCTCCACTCCTGCCCCTCTGCACGATCATGCTTCTTCCACTCATGTGGAGCTCCCTGAAAGCTCACCCCAGAAATCCTGGTACACAGAGTGTTAGAGCTTGTTTTTCAGGGAACCTGATCATTTGAACTTACTGCAGGCCTTTTTCCATTTTCTTTTGCATTTTGTCCATGTATTTAAAAAAATTTATTTTATGTGTTATAAGTGTTTTGCCCACATGTATGTGTACTGCAGGTACACAGTATCAGCAATTGTGTGGGTGCTGGGAGCCAAACCCATGTCCTCTAGAAGAGCAGTAAGTGCTCTTAGCTGCTGAACTGTCTCTTCAGTCCCACATTGTCCATATGGTTTTGTTCTATTATATAACTGCCTTTTATTTTATTTTATTTTTTTTGAGACATGGTCTCCCTGGAACTCACTATGTAGATCGGGCTGGTCTGCCTCTACCTCCCAAGTGCTGGGATCAAGGGTTTGCACCACCATGCCCTGCTATAACTGACTGCTTTTATTTTATTTTATTTTTTGAAAGGGTCTCCTGCCCACCTGGAAGTCACTATGTGGACCAGGCTAGCCTTGAACTCTCAGTTATCTGACTGCCTCTTCCTGCTGAGGGCTGACTGACTGCTTTTGATGGAAGGTTTGGATTGTATATGATAACTTTGGATGTTACCCTCCTGCAGGGAGCTTGCTACTGGCAGGATTTCCCTAGCCTAGGAGCAGTGGTCTGTTCAGTCCCCTTCTGTTAGACCAAGAATGGAGAGTAAATGCCACTTCAGTTGGCCAACTCCTCTGCTTCCAGTTCCTTCACCCCTTTCTGTCGCCCTGTGGAGTGGGTGCTGTGCCAGCCTCAGGCGCTGTGGACCCTGTACTTTTCTCATTTGCATCCTAAGCCCCTGGCCCTGTCACAGTGCTCCTCAGCCTTTTAGCCACATTTTCCTAACTGAAACTTCAGGTGGAACGTAGCCAAAAGTTCCTCATGGACCCTTCCTCTCCAGGTTCTCTGAGGCCTTGTGACAGGTTGAGAGTGTATTGTTTAAGTTCTCTGTAGGCCTTGAGACAGGTTGAGAGTGTATTGTTTAAGTTCTCTGTAGGAAAGTTTAAACTACTTACAATGCTATTGCTGGAAGCCATTTTTTGTTCATTGTTTTGATAAAGTGTAATTTGTAGAACCAGTTTATTTATTGCTGACATATGGTTTTATTACACAATTTAACTATTGCTGTTTAAATAATTTGTATCTTTATTGCTTACATTTGAGTCCGTTTATAGTTACTTCACGTACAGACTTGAAGTGGAATTGTAAGGAGTGTGTAGTTGCCTCTAGACACCGTACTGATTTATCCCTCATCAACAGCAGATGAAATAAATGGACTTTTCTGCCTCTGTCTATTAAGCCTGACTTCATAAATGTGTGTGCATCTTTCTTCCCACCTGCAGGCACGTGCTCTCACACCTCAAACTGCAGAAACAGATGCTATTCGGTTTTTGGTTGGGACACAGTCACTTAAATATGATAATCAGGTAACTATTTTTGACAAATATATACATGTTCATTACTAAGCTTATTCTTAGTTTCATAACCATTTTACTCTTGATTTTTCAAGCAACATTTGAGAAAAACAGCACCACACAAACAAAATAAAAATTTCATTAGCTTTAAATATATATTTTAAAGTCAGAACTATTATTGAACTGTGTATAATGATTGAGTACAGTGCCTTAAACATTCTACTTAGAGGGAGGAGTGTGTGTGTGTGTGTGCATGTGTAGGTTAACGTGCATGTGGAAGCCAGAGGTTTCTTTCTCAGTTGCTCTTAGTTGCTCTACACCTTACTTTGTGAGATAGTGTTGCTCACTGGACCTGGAGCCCATTGATTTGGTTGGATTGGCTGATCACTAAGCTTCAGAAATCTGCCTTTCTCTACCCACAGTGCTGGGGTTACAGATGTGGGCAGCCATGCTTGGCTTTTATGGGGTGCTGAGGATACAAACTCAGGTTCTCATGCTTGTGTAGAAGCACTTTACTAACCGCACCATCTCTATATCCCTGCTTAGTGTTACTTTTGTAGTTTGGTTTTGGCAGCCTCAGACTCACAGAAATTTCTGCACCATCATGTCTGGCCCCATCTTGTTTTTTTAAAAAATATTTTATTTATTATTTTTATGTGTATGAGTGCATTACCTGCATGTATGTAAGTGCACCCATGTCATGCAATGCCCACAGAGGTCAGAAGAGGGCATCAGATCCCCTGGAATTGGAGATAAGGACAGTTGTTAACCACCAAGTGGGTGCTGGTAATCGAACCCGGGTCTTCTGCAAAAGCAGCAAGAGCTCGTAACCGCTGAGCCATCTCTCCAGCACCCCTCCCCGCATCTTGGTTTTTGAAACAGGGTCCCTTCACTGAACTTGGAGCTCAATGTTTTTTGGCTGGGCTGGTTGGCCAGTGAACCCTGAGGTTTCTGTCTCCAGCCCACTCTGCTGGGGTTACAGATGCACAAAGTCACATCTGAGTCTTCTGTAGGTGCTGGGGATCTAAATGCAGGTTGTCATGCTTGTATAGCAAGCACTTCACCTACTGATCTATCTTCCCATACCCGCTTTTGATTTTTTAAAAAAGCATTATCAATGTATCTATGTATCTATGTATCTATCTATCTATCATCTATCATCTATTGTGTGTGTTTGTGTGTGCATGTGTCTGTGTGTCTGTAAGTTAGAGGACAACCCTCCTGAGTCAGTTTTCAGTTCTCCCCTCCCCCCATGTAGGTTTCATGGATCAAACTCAGGTCATCAGGCTTGGTGGCAAGTGTCTTTCAATGCTGAACCATCTTGCCAGCCCCTGCTTTTGATTTAAAAACATATTTAAATTTCATTTGTATTTTCTGTGCATGTGGAGAGGGGAGGTTCATGGACCACCCTCTTTTGATTTTTTTTGGGGGGGGCAGCTTTTTGAGACAGGGTCTCTCTGTAGCCCCAGCTGGCTTGGAGCTTGCTATGTAGATGCTGGTCTGGATCTCACAGAGATCGCCTCTGCCTCTGAACTGCTGGGAGTAATGGTGTGCACCACCATGCCTGACCCAATTTATTTTACTTTTATTTGTTTTTTAGTTTTTTGTTTTTTTTTGTTTTTTTTTTTGGTCTTTTTGAGACAGGGTCTCCCTGTAGCCCCAGCTGTCCTGGAACCCACTATGTAGACCAGGCTGGCCTCAAACTCACAGCCATCTGCCTGTCTCTGCCTCCCAAGTGCTGTGCCACCATGCCTGGCTCCCTCTTTGGATTTTTTGATACCCAGTTATACCTACTTTCTTTTTTAGTTCTCAGGAGTTTGTTTACTAATAGTTCAAGTGTAGTTGACACAAAAAGGCAGTTCTGTGATCTGGATTCTTGAGTTCAGCTGCCTATTCCTGGCTGTGGTCTGTGACACCTCTCTAAGCCTTGGTTGAAGAAAAGGAGAGAGAATAGAGTAAGAGTGCCTTTGTGTTTGGCTTTTTTGGTTTGGTTATTTATTTATTTTTTGAGACAGTGTCTCCCTGTAGCCCCAGCTTGTCTGGAACTCATTATGTAGAACAGGCTGGCCTTGATCTCACAGAGATCTGCCTGCCCCCATCTCCCCAATACTGGTATTAAAGGGTGCCACCACACCCAGCAAGATTATCTTTTTTAAAAGTTTTAATTCTGGGGGCTGGAGAGATAGTTTAGCAGCTAAGAACACTGGCTGCTCTTGCAGAAGACCCAGTTTTGGGTCCTGGCACCCACATGGCAGTTAACTGTAACTCCAGCTCTAGGAGATCAGATGCCCTTTTCTGACTTCCTTGGGCATCGTATGACATGAGTGCACTTACATGCATGCAGGCAGTACACTCATACACATAAAATAAAAATAATAAAACAATTTTTAAAAAGTTTTAATTCTGAGGCTTATGGTGTGTCATAAACTTCATAAGTTTTTGAAGTTTATGAGTTCAATCTTCATGATACACAATAATGCCTTTTTTTTTTTTTTTTTTTTTTGGTTTTTTTGGGACAGGGTCTCCCTGTAGCCCCAGCTGCCCTGGAACTTACTATGTAGACCAGGCTGGCCTTGAACTCACAGAGATCCAGTTCTGCCTGGGATTAAAGGCGTGTGCCACCACACCCGGCAATAATGCCTTTTTAAAAACCAGATGTAGGAGCTGGAGAGATGGCTCAGAGGTTAAGAGTACTAGCTGCTCTTGCAGAAGACCCAGGTTTGGTTCCCAGCACCCACATGACAGCTAACAACAATCTGTAACTCCAGTTACAGGGGCTCCGACACCCTTTTCTGACCTCTGTGGGCATTGCACAACATGGGTGTGCTTAGATACATGTAGGCAATACACGCATAGAAATAAAATTAGAAATAATAAATAAAACCAGATGTAGAACCAGGCGTGGTGATGCATGCTTGGCAGATCTCTGTGAGTTCAAGGCCAGCCTGGTCTACATAATGAGTTCCAGGACAGCTGGGGGTACAGGGAGACCTTGTCTCAAAAAGGCCAAACAAACAAACAAACAAACAAACCAGATGTAGCATGAAGAATTCACAGTCATATGTGAGTTCTGCCAGCTGTCTTTCCCGCCCTGTCTGTCAGCACCAATGGGTCTGTCTTGTGCTTCCCTGATCTGTGTTCACTATGGACAAATGTCTCCACTGTGGCACATGCTTTTGTAACTGGCCTGTAACTGCACGGATTTATTCAAATGAACCTTTCTTGATATTTCCTGGGAGCAGGGTGCAGGGTGGAATCCCAAGAACAGTGAGGCAAGTACTCTCTCTGTGGTCAGGGACTGCCTCCTGCTTCTTCCTGGCCTGCTGCCCTGTACCACACATGCATGATGAGAGAAAACCCACATGGCAGCCTGGAGTGCAGAGCCATGTTGTAGACTGTCACAGTCTCCTGCTGACCCTGGTGCTGCTGTTGTCCAACTGAGTCAGCCAAAGGTCCTTGCTGCTTTGAGCTCAGTTTCTTCACCTGTAGTTTGTAGTTCTTATATTTTAAGGCTCTTTCATAGGGTAAAGGGCAGAGGTAAGGACAGCAGCCCAGTGCTGGAGTAAGATGAACGTCAGCCATGATTATTTTGCTGTGATTTGCTTATGGTGGCTGATGGCTCATCATGCTTATTAAACACTCTGTTGAAACTTTCCATGGTCTGTTATGATATATGTTGGGCTTGCCTCTGAATCTTCTATGGAATATGGATGAGTGGAAAAGTCTCAAGGTAGACAAGCTTATAGGTGAAGGTTAGGGGCCACTATCACAGAGTGTCAAACCAGGAGAGCTGCATCAGGAGCAGTGTGCACTTCCTGCTTTCTGTTCCCTGCTTACCCACCACGTGCATACCTGTTAGTTGAAGGGATTAATTCAAGGCAGATGGTGGTGCCAGGCAGTTGGTGCCTCATGTTATCACAAGAAGGAAATATCTGTGTAGGAAAGTGGTAGAAGGAAGGCCCACCCCAGTGAAGGAAGTACTGTCCTGCAGTGGGTGGACATAGCCAGCAGCAGTTCTGTGCTGTCATGCTGTGCTCCTAATGCCAATGCCACGTGCTCAGAGATGTGACAAATGGGACATTATTCTGTGTTAATGGATTTCTGATAATAGATGTGTCAGATCCTGAGAGAGGAAAAAAAAATCCCTAACAACATGAAAATGGCTTATGATTTCATATATTATCTTTTCTGTATTTACACGATGGTTTTATGTAATCTGCCTTTTTTATGCCTACTTTTAAAGTTGAATACACTCAGCATTTTTGGTATTTGTAATAATTTTTTTTGGTCTTTTTTTTTTTGAAACAAGGTCTCCCTATAGCCCCAGCTGGCCTGCAACACACTATGTAGACCAGGCTGGCCTCAAACTCACAGAGATCTGCCTCTTCTGCCTCCCAAGTGCTGGGATGAAAGGTGTGCACTACCATGCCCGGTTTTATAATCATTTTTTAAGATTCTTTTTTTTTTGTCTTTTTGAAACGGGGCCTCCCTGTAGCCCTAGCTGTCCTGGAACTCACTATATAGACCAGGCTGGCCTTGAACTTACAGAGATCTGCCTACCTCTGCCTCCCGATTGCTGGGTATAATCATTTTTAAAGACATAATATTTAAATACATGTTTTTGGCTTTTATGTTCTTTATGGCAAATGAGGAAGTCAAATGTTTGAATTTTAATATTTATATCATTCTTACTTATGTACCATATAATAGAGTTCCTAAAAGAATTAATACAGATCATATGTACCATAGCTTTCTCAAATTGGTTGTTACCACTTAAATAAAGTCAGTTTAAAATAAAATAAATATTAGTTGATACCAGAAAATTTTCATTTGCAAACTTTTGTAATTGCTTATAATAAAGAATGAACTAGATGTGTTGGCACATGTCTTTAATCCCAGCACTTGGGAGGCAGAAGTTTGTGGATCTCTGTGAAATTAAGGCCATTCTGGTCTGCATAGGGAGTGCCAGGCCAGCTGGAACTATTGAGAGACCCTGTCTCAAACAGAAAACAAAAACCAAACAAACTAAAAGAATAAGTTCTGTTCTCCTGTTGCTGCTTGTGTTTACTTTGCTGCATTCTGTAAGGTGTGCTGAGGTGCACAGCTCAAGCCTCCAGCTTTATTGACTTTTACAGCTCGTATACACATTCTTACACACTCCCTGACACCCCAAACACTTGTGTAACCACTGTCTGATGTCTCCAACCCTCAGCAGTCTTGCCATGTTTGACCTCTGATGCCCTAGATTGGTCTTACCTGCTTTTGAACTGGACTCTGAGGACAGGGGGAGACTCCTAGATGCTGGTTTTAAAGATAATAATGGTATTTGTTAGTCTCACCCAAAGAGAAAGGGATAACACCATGTGTACTTAGGTTCCGTTTGTGCTAGATTGGGCCTCCTAATCATCATATTCTGCTGGCTCTGGTCTCTTGACTGTGCAGTGGGGAAAATGCTTCATAGGGATATTAGGTACCATTGGGCTTGAATTCCACACCAATGAATGTAGAGTGACTCCTGAAGAGGATGGAGGTTGTTTTTATACTAAATGCTGCAGAGGAGAAAGAATCAAAATTAAGCAAGAGGTTTTCCAAGACTATATCTTGTGTATTAGGTATTGTCTAGGCATTTAAAAGTAAAATGTTTGTTTTGATAGCAAAAGTAATGCATATTAGTCATGAAAAATGTTAAAGTCCCAAGAAAATGCCCTGCCCCCCCGAAAAGTGATTTCTTTAGTTTTTCTCTCAGTTGAGCATTTTAAAACAAAAATGGATGGATTATTGTGATTATCTAGTTCCTACTATGTTACTTTCTCAAATCTATATTATGGACATCATTGTGCCACTGAGTAGTCTTCTACAGTGTATTGAATTGCCGGCAGGTATCTGAATTTGCTGCACATTTAGGTGACTTCTACTTTTTCATTAAAGTAATTACTGTCACATAGGACTGTTTTAGATATAAATCTTTGTGTAGATCAATGCCTGTTTTCTTAGTATAAGTGTATTTTTTGTATTTTATTTATTTTTTATGTGAATGAGTGTATTGCCTGCATGTATGTAAGTACACCCCTGTTTTGCAATGCCTGTGGAGGTCAGAGGAGGGTGTTGGATCCTGGAACTAGAGTTAACAGATAGCTGCCATGTGGGTGCTGGGAACTGAATCCAGGTCCTCTGAAAGAGCAACCAGTGCTCTTAACTGCTGAGCCATCTCTAGCCCTGTATAAGTGCATTTTTAAACTAAGTGTTTTTTTATTGGCTTAAGCATTGATAAGAAATTGAGATGTGAAAATCTTTTCAGCGTCTCTAAAATTTTCCAGAAAAGCATGTATAGTTAAGCTTCTTATTCAGACACCTAAATTTAACTGTGTTGTAATTAATATTATATGATCATCAGTGCTGACAGAAGTAAAAAATATGCTAAAATACAGTCCTTTCCCGCTTCTATCACTTCTGCCTTCAGTTGAATTTTGCCTATCATAGAGGGACCAGGCATAGCAAGCCCAGCATCCACTGGGCAGCAGTCCCTACTGTCACTCTAGACCTTACTGGGCAGCAGTCCCTTGCCAATTCTTATCTTCGCTGCATCTACACAGCAAGTCTGAGATGTCTGAGAGGTTGACACTAGCAGGAGCTTACGCCCAAGACCCTTGTCAGCAGAGGTTTGGGCATCATATGACAGACTGGAGAAGACCAGCAGATGGTGTTATGTAGCTTGCCATTGTAAAAGTACTACATGGAGGACTTGCTGCCCTTGTCTTTGCAAAAGTGCTCAGTAGGCATTAAACTACAAAGCTGAGTGTGGTGGCATATGCCTTTAATCCTGGCACTCAGGAGGCAAGAGGCAAGCAGATCTTTGTGAGATCAAGGCTGGCCTGTTCTACATAGTGAGTTTCAGGCCAGCTGTGGTTACAGGGATACCCTGTCTCAAAAATAATCCCCCTCAAAAAAAAAAAAAAAAAAAAAAAAAAAAAGAATTAAACTGCAGGCATGTGCACTGTTAATGTGGCAGCAGTCAGAAATGTATCTGCCATGGAGTTTCCATGGTGTTCTTATCATCACAATATTTATTAAGGTACCAAGGAAAGTGTTTGATACCCTGATGTGTCTGTTCTTCTATTTGTAGATCCACATCATAGATTTTGATGATGAAAATAACATTATAAATAAAAATGTTCTCCTCCATCAAGCTGGTGAGATCTGGCACATCAGTGCCAGCCCAGCAGATAAAGGCGTGCTGGCCACCTGCTACAACAAAAGTAAGTGCAGCTTTTAGTATTCTGAGCATATCAGCTAGAGGTGTCATGTAAGATTGATTTTGTGCTGCTAATGAGTCTGTGGGCAATTTAGAAATTTTGTCCATTGCATTAGTTACTTTTTTGTTACTGTGGTAAAATACCGTGACCAAGGCAACTTACAGAAGAGTTTATTTGAGTTTATAGTTCCAAAAGGGGAATCCACAGTGCCAGGGGAGGCATGGCAGGAGGTGGCCGGAGCAGAACGCTGAGAGCTCATGTCTTTAAGCCTCATAGTAGCAGAGAGAGGGACGCTGGAAGTGTTGCAAAGCCTGTTCCCAGTGACATACTTCCTCCAGCAAGGTGGAACCTCCTAAACCTCTGCAATCAGCACCACCAGTTGTGGACAAAGTGTTCAAATACGTGAGCCTATGGGGACATTTCTCATTCAAACTAGCACAGCCATCAATCTGGGTGCTGTCTCCACATAGCTCTGACAGTGCTTGTTACAATCCTGAGGTTCTGAGAATGGAAGCCAGGATCTTAGCTGTTCCAGAAGCTCTGTACCTTAGCTTCCCCAAAGATGGACGCTGCCCTGATGTGTAGCCCATACCACCGAGCATAGCAGGGACTTGCCTATTTCCCACTGCCTGATGCCAGGAACATAGGGACATTTTCAGTTGTCTTCCAGTCCTCTCTGACAGCAGCTGTGCTGTGTGCACATGCAAGTCATGTGTCCATGTGCCTGGCAAGCCTCCACCTGCCAGCCTGGCACTCCAGTCTGGGACCTTTGGTTTTGTGTCAGTTAGATGGAGACACTGAGTTGATCCTGCATCTCCCTTAATTCCCCTTGCTCTGTCATTATAACTACTTTCCAAATGCTGATTTTAGAGGAAAACTCCCCTTGTATGCCCTGGATGCATCACTTTTGGGTGCTACTAGAACACCTGCTTCTATAACCTTCTGCTTATTTCTGCTTCTATAGAATTCTGCATTCACTTCTTTCTACCTTAACTTCAAGTTGTCCTGCTCCTTTTTTTTTTTTTTTTTAATTTAAATATACAGTCTTTTGTTCAGGGCAAAAAGTAAACAAAAACCCCAAATCAAAGCATGTTTGCTGAAAGTTTTTTTTTTCCCCTACCCATATCCATTACAGTGTTCTGTTTGTTTGATTTTTCAGAGTCTTTCTGTGTAGTCCAGGCTATCTCAAAAAAAAATATTTTTTTGAGTTAGGGTGTTTCTGTTAGCCCAAGCTGGCCTTGAACTCTTGACTCTCCTGCCTCAGCCTCCAACATGCTAAGGTACTTGGTAAGAGACACATGCCGACACAGTGTCTCCCACCACATCTGGAATCTTCCACCATAGTTGGGTCCCCCATCATGATCAAGCTCTCCCACCGTGCCTGATGTTCCCCATATCCTTCAGCTCTTTCTTTGAGCTTTTTTTACTCTTTTGGCCTTTTTTACTCTGTTTATTTAGGAAGACCCTGGCTTTGAGCCTTTCCATCTCCCTTTATCATCACCGCTGATAGACTAGAGCTACTCTTGGAAGCTGTTATTTCTTTGTTGCTCTACCTCTAGTGACCCAACTCTCTCATTTGTCTTCTCATTAGCATATCTGAGATGTCAGTATCTATTTACACTCCTGCTTAGCTTCTGTGTGAACAGTTGATGCAGATGCTGCCCAAACGACACTGAAATGGACTCCTGTTCAGTTCTTGGCTTTGAAGACGGCAAAACCTGGTCTCTGTGTACAGCCACTGATCCTGCTTGTTGCTTCTGTTCCATGGTTGCTTCGCCCATCCCTGCATTGCTGGCTCCTCTGTGTCCACTTGTGTAATCCAGCACCCCCACTTTCCCCTTCCCCCTTGTAGAGAAATGGCAGCCTTCCTTGCTTGGAGAGAGCAGACGTTTCTTTGAACAAAAGAAGTAGTCTCCTCCAGAAAGTAACATTCAGATTTGGGGGGGGGGGTTGGTCTTTTAAATTTTTATTTATTTATTTATTTATTTATTGCTGTTTTTTTATTATTATTATTATTTGTTCTTTTTGAGACAGGGTCTCCCTGTAGCCCTAGCTGGCCTGGAACTCACTATGGAGATCAGGCTGGCCTTGAATTCCAGAGATCTGCCTGCCTCTGCCTCCTGAGTGCTGGGATTAAATGCATGCACTACCACGTCTGGGTTTATTATTTTTATTTTATGTGTATGAGTGTTTGCCTGCATATATGTAAGTGTGCCATGTGTGTGCAATGCAGAGGCCAAAAGAGGATGTTGGATCCTCTGGAGCTGAAGTTATGAATGATTGTTGACTACCCTGTGGGTGCTGGGAATCAAACCCAGGTCCTCTAGAAGAACAGCATCTGTTCTTAAATCGTTGAGCTATCTTTTCAACTCATGGGCTGATCTTTTTGATTAGCTCAGTTAACTTCAATTAACTTCATTACCTTTGCTCTTGTTATATCGTCTCGCAGTCACACAGTCATAGGGTGTCTGCCCTGACCACATTAACTCAGTTCTAAGCAGACCACAAGTCCTGTGGCACTCAGGAGGGATTGCATAAAGGTGAGTCCTGACTTGTGTACAGAGCTGGTCCTTGATCTGGGAGTATTAGCCAAGGTGCTTGCTGTGTATCTACCACAGTGCCTACTGAGTTTCCAGGATATACTATGTGAGGTGGTAGATGCAGAATATGCTCTAATGGTACTGTCAGCACAGCTCCTGAGGCACAGTTCCTCTTCAGCTGGTGACCTAGGGCACTAGGTGACTTGCCTCCCCCATATGCTGTGTATAATGGTGATTGCGCATGGTGGCTATGGTCATTCCATTCAGAAAGGGTAGATGGTATGAAACTAGGAGCCACAGTGGTTCCAAGTGCTCTGGACTGAGAATGTCTCAGAGCTGGGATCTGCTGGGTCTTGTTCTCACCCATTGTTATCCTTCCTTCCTTATGGAAGGGAGTATGTATGTGAGTCTGAGTTGCCTGCTGGCCTGTTTCTTACAGAAGAAGTGAAGCCTAAGAGCATCCTTTCACGTCTTACTCTGTTGCTGTTGGCCAGGATGGTATGTCTGCCAAATAGGTTTCTTAACAGCCTTGTGGTCCTCTGTGGACTTCATCAGCACACTTTCTCTTTTGGCAAAGTGCCCATCAAAGTCTCTGACAAGAGTCCTTCCCCACCTGCTTAGATGACACAAAGACCTCGCCTTCACCCTTTATGCTTCACTCTGCCCTTCATCTCACCCTTTGATCCTTCACCTTCATCCTTTTACCTTCATCCTTCATCCTGCACTTCTCCCTTGACCTATCACCTTCCTCTTCACTTGCACCCTTGACCTCTCACCTTCGCCTTTGCTTGTCATTCTATACTCACCATCTTTACCCTTTCCTTTTGGTGCGATTGTGGGTCTGTGAGACTTTCTTTCCTTCTTGAAAGGACCTTTCCAGTTATATCCTCAAACCTTGTTGTTCCTGAGACTTCATATCATGCTGTGTGTCTGACCTCACCCCCTTCTAGAGCATGCTGTCCTCCCCAGATGTGTCATCCTCCATGGTAAACTGCCTAGGTAAATACCTTACCAGGCATATCATCTGCCATAGCTACACTGTCCTCCCTCACTGTCTTCCCCAGGTATACCATTCTGCTTGGGCACACCATCCTCCCTAGGCATACCGTCCTTCTCGGGTACACTGCCCTTACCCAGGCATACTGTCTTCCATGGGCACACCATCCTGCCCAGATATACTGTCCTGAGATCAGTCTCTTCAGCTACTTTGCTATCTGGAGGCTGAGCTTTTTAGTCATCACTGTTACTCCTTTCTTTAAATAGCCCTTTCTTCAACTTGTCTCTCCTCCCATATTTGCCATCTTGTTCCCTGTCAGTAGACCCCTGATGAGGCAGTGTCTTCCCAAGGCAGAAGCAATCTCGCTGTGTCTTCTGCCACTGTGTGCACACTTCTACTTTGTTCTGGGCCTTGCTTTCTTTTCAGGACTCCATAGCATCCTGTTGACTCTGCAATTTTCTGTTTATCTCCACTTTTTAAACTATACTCCTCAGAAGTTTCTAAGCCTTCTCCAACTGCCGGGATCCAGTGCAGCCACCCACCACCACAGCACCAACTTTGAAGTTTCATACACAGAGACGCTACCACAAAGGCGGGCTTCAGGCAGCACCCATCTGCTCCCCGTGTCCAGGGTTACATGTTGATGACTTAGTGGGATGGCTGCTGGGTCTCATGGCAAGTGTTAGGTATGACCTGGATTCCAGGTCTTGTTGCAAGTGCTCTGGTTGTGGGTGGAATCCACTTCCTAGGGCTTGTAAATCTGAATACGAATTTTCTTGTGGGTTGTCCACTTGGGTCCTGCCAGTTCCTCATGCTGTGTAGTGCTGATAGTGATACTAGCTGCTAAGCTGGCAGTGGCTAGTGGTTAGTGGCAACAGCAACAACAGCAAACTGGTTTAAAGACAAAGCTTTCATCTAGTTGGCTGTCAGGCTTATACAGATCATTTCCTTTCAGTTACCCCAAATTGCTTCAATTTAAGGCCTTTGAGAGACCAGCTCTTTCCACTAGATGTTGAAGGCAGCCTGACTCACTGTTTAGTGTTTCCTCATTTGTCACCCTCATAGAAGGAGACCATTGTTTGACAGCATTCATGTCTGAGTTTCAGGAGCTCTGTTTTGTTCCTGTCACATGCAGAGCGTGGAGGGTTTTAGTCTTCAGGGAACACTGTTTTCCAGAAAGTTGGGCTCTTCTCAGTGCAACCAGCAGGAGCCAGTGGACTTGCTTCTCCTCAGCTCTTGGCCCTCAGAAGCCATGCTTGGTGTCAGGCCTAATCTACTTGAATGATTGTAGTGACAGTCACCCTCATGGGGCCAGGTGCCAAGCTCTTCTGGTTCAGATGCTCCAGAAAGCCTAAGCTTTGCAGTGCATGACTTAATATGGACAAATTTCTTACGAAGAACTAACATGTTTTTCAAATGAAACTTGTGCCCTGTTTTTGCACAGATTGCCAGTAAATCAGTAGGCT